CAAACTGTTAGTGCCTATTTCTGGCTCAAATTTGTTCATCCCATTCAAAACCCTCTCTCTCCCTCATCCCACTGCTGAATTAATCCTTAGCCCAACTGTTTTTTTGTTTTGTTTTCCACCACTCGTCTGTCAGTTTGTCATACTGTGGTGGCTTGAGTGTTGCTGTGAGGCTGGAGGCTATGCCACCGGTGTTGAAATACCAGCGGGGACACCCATGGTGGACAGGTTCAGCAGAGCTTGCAGACTCAGACAGACTCAGGAGAAGGAAGGGGTCTCCACTTCTCAAAGAAGTGGTCAGTAAAAACCTTATGAGCAGCTGAAGCATTGTCTGATCTATTTCTGGAAAACTTTATGAATAGCCCTGAAACACTGTCTGGCACAGGACTGGACACTGTTTCATTCTGTTGTACATAGGAGTCAGAGCCGCCTCAATGGCACCTAACAACACAGTGCCAACGACCAACCATTTTTACCTTTCATCTCTGTGTCCTCTTCTCTCTAACAAGCTGTGTTGACTTCAGTACTGTCAACCTCCAAATCACTCTCCAGAAGAAGACTTTTTTTAAAAATATATATAGTACTTTGTTTTTTGAGCAGCTTTAGATTTACAGAAAAATTGTGCATAAAGTGTAGAGTTCCATGTGCCCCCTCTCCCCTCTGCACAGTTTCTCTTATTAACATCTTTTATTAGTGTGGTGTGTTTGCTATAATTGATGAACCAGTGTTGATACATTCTTATTAGTTAAATTTCATAGTGCACATCAAGGTTCACTGATTGTATTGTCGAGTTCTATGGGTTTTGAAAGGTCCCTGGGTGACATAAATATTTTGTGCTCAGCAACGAAGCTAAAGGTTGACAGTTTGACCCCATCCAGTGACACCATGGAAGCTCTGCTTCCATGAAGATTACAGCCAAGAAGACCTTAGGAAGCCACTCTGCCCCGTCATGCATGGGGGCACCATAAGTTAGAATCGACTGAACAGCAGTGGGTTTGCATGGGTTTTGACAAATGCAAAATGTCGTGTGTCCACCATTACAGTATCATGCAGGATAGATCATGCATGACCTTAAATGTCATATGCTTCCCTCAGTCATCCATTCTGCTCTCCCCCTGAGTCCCTGGCAACCTCTGATCTTTTAACTGTAGCTTTGCGTTTTTCAGAATGTCACGTATATAGAATCATGTAGTATGTAGCCTTCTCAGACTGACTTCTTTAGAAACCCACTGCCATCGAGTCGAATCTGACTCATAATGACCCCTCCTTGGGTTTCTGAGGCAGTATCACTACGGAAGTAGATTGCCCAACCTTCCTTCCCAGGAGTGGCTGGTGGGTTTGAACCGCCAGCCTTTTGGTTAGCAGTCAAATGCTTTAGGCACTACACCACCACTACACCTAAAAATCCGAATCTGATTAAGACACTCCCCAGCACACAATTCTTATTGTTCTTCGTGCCTTCGGGATAAAATCTGAACTTACTAGCTTCACCTGCAGGGTCTTGCAAGATCTTTTTCCTTCCCTACACTCTAGCCACACAGCCTTTCCCTGAACCCTCCATTTCACCTGCACCTTCTCCTTCTGAAACTCAAAGATACTATTCCATATGCTCATCTCCTGCATGACCTCTTGTCCCTCTGTGTATTTAGTTATCACAGCACTTCTCACAGGTATTATTTCAGTCATTTTACTCCTTCGGCTGGCGTCACCATAACTCTGTGATACCAGAGAGTAGAACCTGCTTTTCATCTTTGTACATAAATCGCTTTTGTATTCTTTAGAAATAACACTCATTAAAGCATCTTCTTGTGCCTTCCTGAAAGGCACTAAAATGACAGTTAAGGTTGTTTTTGTTTAAAGTTTAAACCCATAAGAATGAGAAGAATGACGAAAAGATGATAATAGAGCCACAGTGGAATTTAGGAAGCAGATGGACGTGTGATAACTCACTAGCATGCCAGAGAAAGCTGGAGTTGATATCAACAGGGGAGAAAACTGACAACTGAAGAACCCAAAATCACAGAATACACAAAGGCTCAGGAGTTGATGGCACAAGGTGCCTCAGGAAGTACCTCACCATCTTCATGAAAATGGAAATTCATAAGAATATTTTGAGATGAATTAATGTATTGAAAAGAGATACAATTGACATTGAATTGAATTAATAATAGTACATAAACTGAGGGGATGATAAACCATGGCAATTATTAACTCAGGGAAAAACAAAATCTTGTTTACACAAAGTAATGTGGCTCTGTTCTTCATAGCAGACACATTCATTGTATATGGACCTGTAACTCAATATCGATACAACCCAAATGGCAATATAATTACTGCTAAGATAATTATTAATTACTCAATTAAACATGTGGTGGTGGGAAAGGGTGAAGGGATAGAGGTAGGTAGAAAAAGAGCTAAGTCCTGCAGAGGGCTTTATATGGTTGAGGATTGTAATCAGGGCCGTGAAATCAAATGTGCAAGGACTGTTGAGAGTAAAACGAAATCTGCTTTGTAAATTTGCACCCAGATCACAATTTAAAAAAGAGCTAAGTCTTAGTTTTTCATAGTATTAATTAAAATGCCACAAACTAAAAAATCCTGAAGTAGCAATTCATTTGTTGTTGTTGTTGTTAAGTGCCGTCGAGTCGTTTCCGACTCATAGCAACCCCATGCACAGCAGAACGAAACACTGCCC